GACATTTTCATGGCCAGAGTGAGATATACAGGTTCAGTTCCAATCCTCTACCCAAGAAACTCAAACATTACAGCTCACAAATGTTAAAAGGATGTACTTATACATTATATTTACTTTTTAACTCTAAAATTCATGAAGCAAAGAAGTCACACTTCAGAGCCCCTTCTTTCCTCCAACTAGAGCCTAGCTTGAGCAGTCCAATTATTTTTGCTTCTGACCTTCTGAGGTTTGTACTTACTGCAGCACTTCATCATAGTTCCTACACAATCAAGACTACCCTGTACAGCTTGGCTTATGGCCTGGTGGACAAGTAACTTAGTATCTAGGGGATGACGTTTTCAGTTCCTTTAGGAAAGGGATTATGTGGGGTTGGAAAAAAATTGAATCTGAGCCCCCATTGTTTTGGCAAATATATGCAGACCAGGCATCAGGACCTCCTGCCTCCCTTGGGGTCATACTTCAAGAAGAATGGACACTGGAACTTTTCTCACAAGGCCATAACCAAGCTCAAGATCACAACTGGAGAGGGTTGCTACAATCCAAGTGCAGAGGTTTCAGATTCATCACGACTTGTTTCCTAGCACTTGCATCTAGATAGTTCATTGCTCAGCCTGAAGGGCTTTTCAGCATTCTGAAGAGCACTGTAAACAAAGACAGCTATTGAACTCAAAGCCACAAAGTGGACTTTTGGGACTGGATGCCTGTTTGTTTTCCTTTAAACAAATATGCATCTGAGATGTAACCCACATTCTCCAGAGAGAGAAAGAAAAGTGCCACAGTATTGTCTTTGCTTGCTGTTATGCTCGAGTGCCCTTCCTTCCACTCAAAAGTCAAGAGGCTTAGACAGTTAATGCTCAGGTATCAAAAAGCTGAACCATGAGTATCGAAACTGTAAGAGTGATTTACAACATACCTGATATTCAGTGTAATTAGGAGCTGAAGCACCCATTAGCAATCAGAAAATGGACAAATTAGTTTGTACCTACACAGGCTAAAAATGTTACCATTTAAATATTACCATATAATGTTTTTTCTCCCCTTACCCTTGTTCCTAGGGCTAATATTCTCCCTTTCTTCTCCTTCCTGCCAGTTCATCCATAGAGGTCCAGTGCTGTCCTCTCTCAACAAGACACCCCTCATCCCTGTTTAGTTAGGGACTCAGCATGCGAGTCCAATGCTTTCATTTAGCCCAACATCAACTCAGGTAAAGGCAACAGCATCTGGTTTCCAGTTGAGTCTTCAGATGTCTGCCAGATAGCTACCTTTTTTTTTCCTCCCATAAAGAATATTTAGTTTCCTTTTCCCACATCCTCTTACTTATGTTGGAATGTTTGTTGTCTTCATACAAGAAGCAATAGTTTCTAAACAGCAGTGGAAATTGTAAAGCTGAGATGTTTTGTGTTGCTCTATCCACAGTACATTAATTGTGTCTGGTTTTCAGGTGAAATGCCACAAATTTTAAAGTACCACACATAATGTGGATGCTCCCAGCAAACCAGATATGACAGGTTCACCTGCTATTTGTGCTCCTGCACTTAGTAAAGTGATTTGATCTTCACCTCCTGCTTAGACTAATTAATGTGTCTTGTGGCAAGTACTTTGTCTCAGCATGGTCAGTTCCCTTCCAAATGCATTTGAGCTGTGAATTCTCAGGGACAGGAGATTTCTCTCTGTCAAAACCATGCCATTTAAAGCAGTTGAGAAGTGGCAGAAAGAGGGAAACAGAAGAAGGAATCGTTACCTTTTCTTTTTTTGTTAACTTTTGAATGCCACAGGAAGCACGGTTTCAGGTAAGCTTTCAGCAAAGCACGTACATTACCACTGGAAATTATTTTCTCCCAAGTAAGACCAGCCAGCAATATTCCCACACCAGCTAGCTTCCACTTGAAGTCACATTTGAAGCATCAGAGTTCCCTAGTGGAAGCAAGCTGAGCTTTTGCCTAGTTTACTGGATGTTTAATTTAGCAGGTCACTGCCACATCCAGAATAATCACCTTTCTTCCCACTGCCCCAGTTGTAACACTTTCATTGAAATCTGAAAACAAAACAAAATAAAACCAAAATAAACCTGAAGTAGTCAAGTTTTATTAAAAATTTGACAGGATTCTGAAGATGGAGAAGAAAGCTGGTATTATCTCTTCTGTAAGAATTTAGGGGATATTTGAAATTATTTTTTTTACAAATCTAAACAAGCCTATGATCTTCCCCTCCTCGCTGCTAGAACTATGCTGTTCTATGCCCATTTTCCACTATAGTGTGCAATACAGTCTTTTCGATCTGCAAAGCTGTGTTTGTTCTGCAGGTGACACATACAGTTCTCAAACTCCTGCATGCACTGTCTCAAATCCCTTGCATCAGAAACCACTCGTGCTGCAGAGTTTTTGTTATTTTGCCTAAACCCACTAAAAAAAGAAAATGCACACTTTCATTTGCTGTAATTGCTACAGGTGCTTCTTAAATAGTATTTTCTGGTGTGACTGCCTACTAAAGAAAAGGAAAAAAAAAAACTACAAAGCAAACAGATCTAAAATACAGAAAGAGCTATTGAAATCAATTTCAATAGGCTTCTCTAAAATTTTACATGAAGTTAAATGAATAGTACTACAAGAAGTAACCTGACAGTGGTCACATATCATGAACGGAAAAGCAAGCATATTTAAGTTTCATGATTTAATGCTGTGTACATGCACAAGGATAAGAAGAAAACAACAGCAGATAGAGTTAAATTACCGAACTGTGGGAGTGAATTTTTGAGGGAAAGAATGACCAAGGACCCCCGCAGGAGCTCTCTGGAAGCAGTGAAGGAGGTGAAAGCCCCAGTAGATGGCACTCAAAGCTACAGCACAACCCCAGAGCTTACAGAGGCCCTAAACGTGGTGCACTGCAAGCAGCGGTCAGCAAGCTGTGGGCAGAGACCCCAGCAAAGATTTGAGGGAGAAGACTTACTGGTGTCTGAGCTGCTGTGTCATGGCAGCCGGGCTGCAAAAGACCAAGACAGCTGCAGGTGGCATCCAGGTAGCAGGTCTGGAACAGTAATCTGCTCACTAGCTCTCAACAAGGGTAGATATATTTTTCCATTGCAGCTTAGACATCTTTAACTCCCTGGCCACTTCCCACCTCACCCCATAACTAGCCTCAAAACTATGGGGGAAATTAGGAGTTTAGCTTCATAACAGGTTTTAATCAAGGCTATATTGGAGCAAGGTAAAGAAGGCAGTGGATGAGAAATTTGGGGCTGTTCAGCCTGGAGAAGAGAAGGCTGCATGGAGGAGACCTCAGAGCAGCCTTCCAGTATCTGAAGGGGGCCTACAAGGGTGATGGAGAGGGTCTCTTCGTTAGGGACTGTAGTGGTAGGACAAGGGGTAATGGGTTCACACTTAAACAGAGGAAGTTTAGATTAGATACAAGGAAGAAGTTCTTTACAGTGAGGGTGGTGAGGCACTGGAATGGGTTGCCCAGGGAAGTTGTGAATGCTCCATCCCTGGCAGTGTTAAAGGCCAGGCTGGATGGAGTCTTGGGTGACATGGTTTAGTGTGAGGTGTCCCTGCCCCTGGTAGGGGGGTTTGACCTAGATGATCTTAAGGTCCTTTCCAACCCAAACCATTCTATGATTCTGTGATCATCCCTCAACAAGAGCTTAGAAGTAAGTCACAAGGCAGGGCAATTCTCAGTAATGAGCTTTGTTTCAAAAGTAAGGGGCTACTCCAGTTTAACCCTCACAGCCACAGAGCCAGCAGTGGCTCACCCTGACCAAGTGCCTAGTCTTGTAATCACTGCAAATAGAGATGGATACTCTGCAAGAAGCTCTTCTGCATGCATAAATCGCTGTGTGCAGGTACTGCTAATGTTTGCCTAAACTTTGTTCCTCCTTTTACTGCCTTTAGAGTTCACAGGATCCCTTAAGAAATATGAGGAAACAGGCTATTAAAACCAAGTCAATTAGTGCATTCTAAAACATACAAACTGTTTATATAGGTAAGCATAAACCCCCACAATAACTGAGACATTAATCCTTAATAAGACTTTTTTTTTTTTTCCTTTTTTAATCCATATCTCTCTTCCACCACAGGGAATATTACAGCTGCTCACAGCTACCAAGACTGAGCCTTTCCTTTTACAGAGCAGATGCTATTGGCACTACTGGGCTGAACCTGGAACTTCTTTACAGCTGGATCAACAAGGTTCATGAATATTCAGGCACTAAGGAATTTGGGCAGATATCCAAGTGGCAGGAACCAGCTGCTGAATCTAAAGCTCTCCCAGGTTTTTATGCTGCAACACAACTATTCAGATTGCTTTATGCTCTAACGTGAGCACATTAAAGGCTATGAAACAAAAAAAAAAAAAAATCCTACTCTTGATAAAAAACATGCAGCCATTATCAAAGCTACTCCTCACAGAACTGCACATGTTATCACCCAGTAGCTGCTACTTGACCCATCCCTTTGGATGAGAACTTGCTTTTGTTCTGCTCTTCCCCTCCTTGGGAGTAGTAATATGTGGGGATGGAGCTGATCAGAGGTTACTTTCTGAAGGGCTTAGGTCACAGTCAGCATTTGCTCTTCCTGCCTTAGCTCTGAGCTGGGCTGGGAAGCAGGTACGACAGCCACAGATCCAGGCATTGCTGTGGGAGGGAAGCAGAAGAGGAGGGGCGTGAGGGAACCGAGCTGCAGCCTCTTTGCCTCTGCTCCAAGCTCAGGGCAGCCTCATCATCAGTCCTTCAGGCACGGACTTTTTCTCTGCCACTTCTCCAGCACCAGCTGCTAAACCTGCAGTTACCTCTTGGATAAGACAAATTCCGCAACCCCCTTTTTGCCAGTTCCTGGAAGAATTTGCACTGGAGACAGAGAAAGTGTGCAAGAATCATCTGAAGAAAACTGCTCCCCAAAGATAAAACACAGAGCACTGCAAAAACCAAGCATTCAGCATCTGGCCACCACTAACAAACAGACCTGCTTCATAGCAGTCAGGGCTACAGTGACTGCACCCTGCCTTCCAAGCAGCCTAGCTACATGGAGGAGCAAGAAGACAACTTTATACTTTCCCTTGGAGCCAGCACCAGCAAGTGCAGCTTTGACACTAACCAAACAGGGGCTCCAACATGCTGGTCAGGAGCAACCAGGGGTGGCCCGGAAGTGGTGATTGTACCAGTGCTTTTTGGGTTGATTTTCCTCCTGGGAATGGTGGGAAACACATTGGTGTTGGTTGTTTTGGGACGTTTCCGGCCTAGGAGACGCCCATCACGCAGCGTTACCAATATCTTCATCCTGAACTTGAGCATTGCAGACTTCTCCTTTCTGCTCTTCTGTGTCCCCTTCCAGGCCACCATCTACTCCCTGCCAGAGTGGATCTTCGGTGCCTTCTTTTGCAAATGGGTTCACTACTTGGCTACGGCAACAATGCTGGTCAGCATCTTTACTTTGGTGGCTATGTCCATGGACAGATACATTGCTGTGGTCCACGCCAAGCGCTCGCACTACATCCGCAGCAAGCGCAACGCTGCCCTCGGTGTGGGTGCAATTTGGCTTCTGTCTCTAATCATTGCCATCCCTGTGGCCCAGCACCAGGCCCTCATGAGTGGTCATCAGCAAGCACCCAACAGCTCCTTCTGCTGGGAGCACTGGGCAAATGGTTCAAGAGCCAAGCAGATGTACAAGGTCACCATCCTGCTGGTGGGGTACCTCTTGCCCCTGGTGCTCATCACCTGCTGCTATGCCAAGGTGGGTGAGAAGGACGGGAGTAATGTTTTAATGGAGGGAAAGATCAGTCCCACACTCTTGGTGGCTTGGATGTGTACACTTAAGCTGCCCAGCCAATAAACAGTAGATACAATCATTTCCATATTCTTTCCTAGTATAGAAAACTTCTGAGTCAGGGGGAGGGAATGAAAACAGAACGAAATTACACCATCTCACAAACAGAATTACAACTGCTAAGCTGACACTCAGCCTGACACTCAAATCCTGTAGAGACTTGCTGGTTTTCCTATTTTTCAGTTTGTTCTTTCTTGATAACAAATGTTTGTTCCCGGCAAGAGATAAAATTAATGGAGGAAGAAACAATGGCAGAGAGAAACAGAAACAATATTAAAGACATCACCCCGATTTCTTTCTTTCTTTTCTTTTTTTTTTTTCTTCTTTTTTGGCACAGAGCTCAGACACTGTGTCTTGCAAAGACTTGCAAGAAGAGATCTTAGGATTAGTTTTATTCAGCAAGAAATGTCCTCCTTTCTTCTTGTGGATTGCTATAGCTCAAAATTTTTGTTTCCCCTTACTGATCTTTAGCATATTTAAGATTGATAGTAAGTCTGTGAGTTGTGCTAGCATGCAGAATAACTATTCTGTGAATTTTGAATTAATAACCTGTTGTGGAGTGCCAGGGACTGGACTTCATTGTCAGTAGTCAGTGGCAGGTCTACCCTCTTGGAAATAAAATGTTTTCCTATTTAATCAAGAAAAAGATTACTTTCCTTACTAATCTGTTCTGCTATCATTAATGCTAAGGACAGGACAATGCACTTTTAGGTTTAAGATAAAAATCTCTAAACCTTAGGCTTTGCTTGTCACAAGAAGAAAAAGCCACTAGAGCTCTTAACTCCTGTCCCTGTAGCTCCAGCTGTTTGTCCTCTCACTGCCGTAGGCGAGCACAGCATCAGCTGAAAGGTAAGCTTCATTTAATGATTGCATTAGAAAATTTAGTTTCTTAGCTTCAAAGGCTGGAGAATAGCCAGGTTAGTGTCATGCTGTAATCAGGTTTCAAAAGCTTGATCTAGATGTTGTTAACTGAGCATTT